ATGTACTAATTAAAATAACAATAATAGAGGGAGATCAGTAGAGTAGAGTAATGGATCAGAGGAGGAGAGGAAAAGGGAAGATACTAGGAAATTAGATTGATAAAATTATTGTATATGTGTGCATATACAATCATGGCATAATGAATCCCTCTATTTTGTATAATTATAATGTACCAGTAAACCATTTTTAAAAAGGAAAAATAAAAAATATTAGCAAATTGCATTCAAAACATATTAAGACACATCATGATCAAGTGGTTTTCATTCCAAGATTGCAAGGATGGTTTGACATATGAAAATCAATAAATGTAATTCCCCACATAAATATAAATCGGGACAAGACTGACATAGTTATAGATTCAGAAAAAGCCTTTGACAAAATTCAGCACCAATTATGATAAAAACATTGAAGAAACTAGGAATAGGAGGAATCTACCTCAACACCATAAAGGCTATATTTTATAAACCCAAAGATGACATCATGGTGAATGGGGGAAAACTGAAAGCATTTCCTTTAAACAAGACATAGATGTCCACTTGTTTCTTGAACAAAACAAAAATGTCCATTCTCACCACTCCTATTAGATATAGTACTAGAATTTCTAGCCAGAACAATTAGGCAAGAGAAAAAACAAAAGGAATAAAAACAGGAAAAGAAGAAGTCAAATTATCACTGTTTGTAGGTGATATGATCCTATATTTAGAAGATTCAAAACCTCCAGAAGACTGCTGGAGCTAATAAATTCAGCAAAGTAGCAGGTTACAAAATCAACATACAAAAATAATAGCTTCCATATATACCAATAATGAATGTGCTGAGAAATAAATCAGGAAAACAATTCCATTCACAATAGGAAAGAAAGAAAGAAGGAAGGAAGGAAGGAAGGAAAGAAAGGAAGAAGGAAAGAAAGAAAATCTAAACAAGGAGATGAGAAACTTCTGCAATGAAAACTATAGAACACTGAGAAAGAAACTGAAGACACTAAAAGATGGAAAGACCTCCCATGTTCATGGATAGGCAGAATTAATACTATTAAAATGGTCATATTACCAAACACAAAACATAGATTCAATGTAATCTCCATGAAAATATCAATGACATTCTTTATAGGACTAGGAAAAAATCCTAAAATTCATTTGAATGAATAAAAGACTTAAAATAGCTGAAGCAATTCTAAGTCAAAAAAAGCAACTCTGGAGGCATCACAATATCTGATTTCCAATTATGCTACAGGGCTATAGTAACAAAAACTGCATCGTAATGGCATAAAACCAGACACATAAACCAGAGAAATGAAATAAGAGACAGACAGAAACTCACACAGATAATCATCTGATTGATCCTTAACAAAGCTGCCAAAAACATATATTGGAGAAAAAATAGCCTTTAAACTAATAGTACTGGAAAAACTAGTTTTCCACATATATATAGAAAAATGAGATTAGATCCTTATCTCTCACTCTACACAAAAGTCAACTCAAAATGGATCAAAGACCTAGGAATTAGCAACAACTTCCTCAATAGGACTTCTAAAGTTCAGGAAATAATACAAGAATTAATAAATGGGATAGCACCAAATTAAAAGGCTTCTGCCCAGCAAAGGAAACAATTATGAACATGAAGAGAGAACCTATAGAATGGGAGAGAAATCTTTGCTAGCTACCCTTCTGACAGAAGATTAATATCCAGAGTATATGAAGAATTCAAAAAGTTTACCATCCAACCCCCCTAATAACACTATTATTAAATAGACAAATGAACTAAGCAGACATTTCTCAAAAGAAGAAATACATATGGCCAAAAAATATATGAAAACATGTTCAACATGTTTAGCAGTTAGGAAAATGCAAATGAAACTACAGTGAGAATTAATCTCACTCCAGTTGGAATGGCAACCATCAAGAATATAATTATGCAATCGTAAATGCTAGAGAAGATATGGAGAAAAAGGAAACTTTCATACTGTTGATGGGATTATAAATTAGCAAGACCACAATGGAATTGGAACCCTTAAGGGCCCTTAAAAATGAATTTTCCTTTGCCCTTCCTTTGGCTCTATTTTTTAAAAATGAATAATTTGCTTCTCTATGAAAAAATAAATAAATTCATGAGTTAACAACTGTAATGCTCTTAGAACCTATCAGGCAGATGTTTCCAATGTAGTAATTTATATTTCTGGCACCTGCTTTCTACCAGCTTTGTTCTCCTTGGATCCCAAAGGATCTTGAAATGCCAATAACAACAATAATAGAATAATGCAATATATAATAATGTTATTATTAGTACTTCTAGGCCCTTCAGAGTCTAAGAAGATAAAATTATGAGGTTCTTTAAATCCAAGATAGTATCATACTACATACTAAGTGACATCCATCTTTGACTAATAAAATTGTGGGCAAATTCTCTCATAGATTTGGGATTAGTAACATCTTTTTGTAGGAATAGTCTTAGCTTTTAAAAGAAATTTAAGATGTTGGTGGGCCTTTATTTTATTCATTTATTTATATGTGGTTCTCAGAATCGAACCCAGTGCCTCACACATGCTAGGCAAGTGCTCTACCACCAAGCCACAACCCAGCCCTAGTCTTAGCTTTTGTCAGTTCTTTGTTTTTGCTTATTTCCCTGCATATGATTTAGATAAAGTCTCCAAGGATGTGTCGCAAAGAACATTACAGGAAGATTATGAAGGTGTAGGCAGGGTGGCTCTAGGGAATTGGTGAGGTCAAACCTTGTTTTCTAGGACTGAGGAGTTTCCTGGGATGTGGGACTTTCAATGCTAAAACCAGGAGAGTCTCAAAATACTGGGACAATTAATCACCCTAACTCTGCCCCATGCTGTTTGGCCAAAAAGCTCATACCCAGGAGACAGATATCACAAACCCAGAGAAGGGTCAAGAGCCGAGCCATGTTGGTTTGAGTTCTGCCTTTAGCACTAATTAGGTGTGGGGCTTTGAATTAACCTTTCTTACTTTTGGTGTACATAGAAGGGAGGCTGTAGATACTTCAGCTCAGGTGTGTGTGAGCCTGGCACAATAGGTCTCCAATAAACAGTTTCTTGACTGTGGCTTCTGGGATTCAGTCCTGGATATCAATTTCTAGTTGGAAGCCTGAGAGTATGTGCCACCAAAAGCCACTGTCCCCCTGGAGATGCTGAAGGAGGCAGTCATCAGCTGAAGTTAGAGCCAGGAGCATCCCCACCCTGGTCAATAACATCTGACTGTGCCTTGGTGCCATCTTTACTTCTAGATATAAGTTCCAGAGAGTCCTGACCAACTTGTTGACTGCTGTATACTTGGGGACAGATGAGGTCTAGGGGTGCAACAGGTATTAGGTGGAGACCAGTTTGTTTATTTATTTTTTATTAATTGAACTGAATGTGAGGGTGGAGGGGGCAGATGTGTGAGGCATTCGGGGGAGAGCAGAAGTGGGAAAGGTGGGTGGAGATAAGAGGTGCTGACTGGAAGCCAGGGGAAGGAGCAGTAGGGACAGAGTGAACAGATACAAAGATGGAAAGATTTGGGGGTCCTTGAGAGATCATTTGAGTCCTGAATCTGATGTATCTTGTAATGTGACCTTGGGCAAGTCCCTTGCCCTATTAAAACTACAGTTCCCACATCTATAATATGGGATAGTAATTGTGCCTGGCTTGAAGATTATTATGAATATATAAGTATGTAACAAAAAATCTCATCAATATGTACAACTATAATGTGCAAATTAAAAATGTGAGGGGGGGAAAGGTTATTATGAGGATTAATGAGTAAGAAGCTCTTAGCCTGGGCCCAGAACCTGCGCCACAAAATACTCCCCACCCCACCTCCATCACACACACATGGGTGCGAACATGCACGCACAGACACACACATTCACTCATTCTTGGACTCCATCCTGATCTTCCCATATCTTCCACTCACCAGGTACCTGCTCCAGTCCTACCATTTACAGTGTGATCTCAGCCAGGTGATTTTCCCTCTCTGAGCTCCTTTCCTCCTCTCACATGAGATAATAGCCCCTACAACCCTGAGTTTTGGTGAAGATGAGTTGAGATAATGTCCATAAAGCACTTATCCCAGGACCAGGCACAAAATCAGAGTTTGGTCACACATGCACTTGCGCACATTCAGACATGCACAAACAAAAATTTTCCAGGTCTTGGAAGCCATGGGAGTTCCTGAACCACACAAGGCTTCAATATGTAACATACATATCAGATCCCTGCTCTGCACTGGGCTGTCTTACAGACACTTTCACAGACAGATCACCGTGCTCTTTTGGGATTCCCCCCATCCCAGGGCCCTTCCAGTCACCACCACTGAGGCTGATTAACAAAAACACAACATCAAATCCTTTTACTTCTGAGGTCTCCCCTTTAAGGGGAGGCAGGAAATAAGAGGGTAGGGGGTTTAATAAAAAATAGTATAATTAGTCAAATACTGCTCTCCTGTGAGGCCCTGTGTACCAGGGGCCCAGTTCTGGTTGGCTACATCCTCTTGAGAGCCTCTCCTCACCCTGAGGTTCAGGGTGGCACCAGGAGGGGCTGAAGGAAGCCAACATCACAGGTCCCTGCCCAGCCCCTCTGTAGTGAAAGAGCTGGGAGGCCACAGGTCAGCAGGATGTCACCACCGCAGAAAGTCCCTAATGAACTTCCAGAGCTTGGTGACCCAGAGGTTAACGCCGAGATCCATCAGGTACTGGATCTCGGGCGTGAGCATCCGACGGCAGAGCTGTTGGTGTCGCTGCCCAATGCTCTTCTTGAGGTTGTAACCAAGGATGGACTTGGAACCCAGCGGCTGCCAGGGCTGCATGGCTGAGTCCTGGATGGCAGCCGCATCCACTGCCCGACCACCATCAATACAGATACGCCGCATGCGCTCATTGGCACGGCGCAGGGCAGCCACCTCTTGGGCCATACGCTCCCGCCCAAAGGCCTCCACTTTGCGCCAGAAGCTGGCATTGAAGTGGCGGTAGAGGCGGGCATCCAGCATGTTCCAGGCTGTTGCACGGCGGTACAGGTCCCCAGAGAGCCGAGGCACTGGTGAATCACGACGGGCGTTGAGCTTGAAGTACAGCACGTCCTCCAGCTCCCAGCAGAGCAGATCCTTCAGCAGCACCAGAGACTCGTCGAAGTACTCCTGGAGGAGTACCAGGTGGAAGCGGCGCTCCACCTCCAGTATGTGCTCCTGCACCTGTGGGCTGCCAGGGTCTAGGCCACTGTCATAGCCCAGATCGAAGAAGAGCAAATTGCGGAGGTAGTGGGCGTTGTAGCCGTTGGGATCATAGTAGCGATCTGGGTCCTGCAAGAATTCTGCCAGCTTGTCGCTGCTTGAGAGCTTCCACGTGAGGGGCACCACGGGCCCAAAGTAGTGGAAGGAGGACTCGAAAAGGCGGGCAGGGTCCCGGAGCACGGTGATGAAAGTGGCATTGGGTGGCACCAGGCCACGCACCTCCTCGTAGTGGAAGCGCATGTGGTTGCAGATGATGTTGAAGCAGGCCCCGGGCCGGTAGTCCTGCACCAGGCTGCGGGTGAAGAAGGCCGGGTAATCGAAGTCGTTGCGACCATTGGGGAAGGCGAATTTGAGCCCGTGCTTCTGACCAAAGCGGAACAGGATGTTGAGCAGCGTGCTGCTGGCCGTCTTGTGTGTCTTCATGAACACGATGTTGCGCCGCGGCTGGCAACCTCTAAATGAGCCATTGGCCAGAATCACCCCCTCTGACTCACCAGAGACTGGGGAGCAGGGTGCTATGGCATCGGGGGTCCTGCTAGAGACAGAGAGGTAGGAAGAGTGTCAGAGGCCGCTGGGGGTCTGGGGACTCAGAACCTTGGGCCCTCATGCCTAAACATGGGTTTGTTGATGACAGTTGTGGCAACAGAGATGGGGACACAGATGGGCCTGAGTCTAGGCTGAATGCCTGAGCCAGTGATTTGGCCTCTCTGGCTTCAGTTGTTCCTCATCTGTGAAGTGGGGAGAATAACAGGCCCTATTTGTCATGTTAGTGTGAGATTGAAGTGAAGTGAGGCACACAGGCTTTTGTCTCAATCATGGCCAGTGCCTTATGTTTATTGTAAAATAGTACTAGGTTGAACCACATGAAATTTCCCTTTAGTAGGGTCAGTAATTGACAATTTCCTCCAGTTCAATTTAATACCTAGCAACTAAAAGTACAGGCTGTGCCAGATCTGTGCTGAGCATCTCCATGAGGAACCTTTCCTGTCTGCTGCACCCATATGCCCATCAGGATTACCAGATGGTTAGGAGCAAGGCCTGGGATCATACAGGAGTTTGAATCCAGGCCCTGTGCCAGCTGAGTGCTTTTAGATAAACTGACCTCTTCCCTGTGGCCCTCCTGGAGCCTCAGATAATATAATCCATGCCCTGGACATAAATGATATGATGTGATTCTCCCACTCTATGAGGCAGGCTCTGTTGTTCTCCCCATTTCATAGATGAGCACACTGAGGCCCAGGATTTCATGGTGAGTTCTGCCCTCAGTAGTGGAGTTTCTGTCCAGCAGAGCATGATGCAGGGTTCAGGATGGCTACCCAGGATACAGCATCAATCATTCAGGCAGGTGCTGTAGTAAGGCAATTACAGGGCCTCCCTGAAGGGAAGTAGTCCTTGTATATCCCCACCACTGGGTGCTCAACTAGGCTACTCACGTGGAGGTCAGGCCAGTGTGCAGTGGGGGCACAGCATAGGAGTACAATAGCAGCAGGAAGCTGGTAAACAGAGCTCCCAGAACCAGCCCCTTGGCCATGGACTCCCAGCGCTTCTTCTGTAGCATGGGCGGCATCTCAGACACCTGTAAGGGGCAGCAGAGAGTGGAAACAAGCATCAGGAGGCTGGCCCTAACGAGCACCCATGGCTGCTCTGGGCCTGGAAGCAAGGACCTGCCTTTGCCAGCACTGTGACCCCTTACAGGGTCCAGATAGGGACAGAGAGAAAAACACATGGAGATAGACAGCCATGGGGATGCAGACAGAGAGGGTGGGTCAATTCAAAGAGAAACAAGGTATGGAGAAGTTTCTGCCTCATGGTTCCATTTTAAGTTTTAAGCTTGTTGGCACTCTGAAAAGCAGTATGGGGATTCCTTAGAAAACTTGGAATGGGACTACCATTCGACCTAGCTATCCCACTCTTTGATCTCTACCCAAAGGACTTAAAGATCAGTATACTACAGTGATGCAGCCACATGAATGTTTATAGCAGCTCAATTCACAATAGTTAAACTTTGGAACCAACCTAGCTGTTCTTCAATAGATGAATGGATAAAGAAACTGTGGTACATATATGCAATGGAATATTACTCAGCATTAAAAGAGAATAAAATTATAGCATTTGCTGGTAAAATGGATGGAGTTGGAAAATATGCTAAGTGAAGTAAGCCAATCCCAAAAAACCAAAAGCTGAATGTTCTCTCAGTGGATGTTGATACATAATGGGGGAGGGGCATGGGAAGAATGGAGGAACTTTGGATTGGGCAAAGGGGAAGGGGAGGGGAGGAGGCATGGGGGTAGGTAAGATGGTACAATGAGATATGGACATCATTACCCTAGGTATATGTATGATTGCACAAATGGTGCGACTCTGCAACATGTACAACCAGAGAACTGAAAAGTTGTGCTCCATTTGTACAATGAAACAAAATGCATTCTGCTGTCATTTAAACAAATTGGAAAAATTTTTAAAAATAAAAAAATGTTTTTTTAAAAAACAAAATTTTAATCTGGTTGGTGAGGACACAAGTGTTCATTACCTTACTTTTGGACCTTTTGGGGCTTCATAATGAAATACTTTTTTAAGTAAGAAGGAAAAGTAGATCCTTGCTCAGTGCTCTGTGTCCCCAGGCCTGGGATGGGCTGTCTACAGGAAAGGCCAGAAGCTCTCTGGGGACCTGAATCCTTTACTTTTTAGAGTGCCAGCCCTATATGTCCTCTGTACCACCCTTGTGGCTGCCCAATAAGGGGCTAAGTCTCCTGCTCTTTTCTTACCAGCCCCTGCATTACTGGGATTTATAGGGGAGGCAGGTAGAGAAACAAGCTCACAGCTGAGAAGGTGACTAAGCTCACACAACCAGACAGGCCTCTACCCACATACCCACCTTCTCTTTGATGGCCCACAGGGAGAGATGCCCAGTGAAATGTACATTTCAGTTCACTAATGAATAAAATATTTTAGTTGTATGACTATGTCCCAAATATTACATGAGATATACTAAAAATTATTCAAACTATAATTTAAACAGTATCTTGGGGTTTTTATTGTTATTGTATATTTGTTTAGAGGGAGGTTTGGTCTGAATGTGGCAACCCTATTCACAGAAAACTGAAATATAGGCTATAATGAGGATAAGCTCTCTCCATGGGAGAGCTTGTTGGGGGGACCACCCCTTAGCAGCAAAACCAGGGCCTAGAACTTTCTACTCTCACTTTAGCTTAAGCTCTTGAGCCCCTGAGGCCACCAGAAGTAACATGTAATGCCCAATGATCACATGCATAGATCGTCACCACTGTCCCTAGGGGCAGAAGATAGAACAGCCCACCTGGGTAGGAGCCCATACACTGCTCCCTGGAAAAGTTATCCAAGGCATCCACAAACTTCTCCTGGAGAAAGGGCCCCTTAGGCCAACCCACCAGGTGGCACCAATCTTTGAGTCCTTTGTTCATCATTTAGAAATTGGTCCTCACTGGAAAGAACATGAAAAGCATTTGCAAAGAAAGACACTGTACTACAAGAGGGAATCTGGTCTCCCTCATGACATCCTTGTTTACTCTGCAAGGTAGACAGGGCATTGGGCAAGGGTGAGGGAGAGTGTTGGAGGGCAGTGATGTCAAAGGACAAAGGAGCAAGCTCTCTGACTTCTCATTGTTCTAAACACTTGGGCAAATGTAAAGCCACATGTGCAAGGGTATTCACAGCTGCTTGATCAGAAACAGGAGCAAATCAGAAACAACCTCAGTGATTATCAGCAAGGAACCATTACATAAATCAAGGCCCATTCATAGAAAGAGTCATCTGCAGATGTTTAAAAAATAAAACAACAACAAAAACAAGGTGTAGCTAAAAACACATCATGATCTATTTGTGTGGAAAAAAGGAAGTTCTAGAACAATATGTCCATCAATTACCCCTCCATATTCTTTATATATGTATGTAAAACTACATGAAGATCCAGAAGAAAGTAAGTGGAGAGCAGTACAGGTGAAGTATCCCTTATCCCTTATCTAAAATGCTTGAAACCAGAAATATTTTGAATTTCAGATTTTTTTTTTGATTACAGAATATTTGCCTTTATATAATGAGATATCCTGGGAATGGAACCCAAGTCTAAACATGAAATTCATTTCTACCCATAGCTTGAAGGTAATTTTATACAATATTTTTAGTGTCCTTTTGTTTTGGCTGTGACCCATCACATGAGGTTAGGTGTGGAATTTTCCACTTGTGGCATCATGTGGGCACTCCAAAAGTTTCAGATTTGGGAGCATTTTGGATTTCAGATTTTTGGATTAGAAATGTTCAACCTGAATTCTACATTTCAGCAATGGTATCCTCTGCATATCTGGGGGAGAGTATATATGGGAATATTTTTTCCAAATTATGCATTTTTTAAACTGTTGCATTCTTTAAAGGGGCCCATATTACTTTTTAATCTGAAAAAGATAATACATTGCACTCAGCTATTAAATAATTTAAATAATAAATTACAAAGCTTGCAAGGTGGGATAAAACCTGTCAGGAGGGGTTCTAGGAGGGAGACATACCAACATCAGGCCCAACCCCTCAGGCCTATTTCAATCCAATGCTGTGATTTCAGACAAGCCAGGGACCTCCTTAGATTCTGTTTCTCATGTGTAAGGTGAGAGTTACTCTAGCTGGGCCCATGGGAGCCTCCCTGAGATGGGTCAGGCAAGCTGAATCTCTCCTAAACTCCTCCCTGAAGGCCTGCTGCCATCCCTGGACAAGGAGTGACCACTGGGCTGCTCACAAAGCACAAACCTGCCCCAAGCCTCAAGTGTTCCTATCAGCCTCCTGCTCCTCAGGGCTACAACAGAAAGCGGGGCTAATTCAGGCTGGAGTCTTACACTGGCTCAGAACCCTGAGTGGAGCCCTGAGCCTCAGTTTCTATGGCTTTAAAATGTGAAGGGATTAGGATTCTGTGGCTCACCCTGACTATATTCTGAGGGCCCACCCGTGCCTCAGCAGCCCCACTCACCAGGGTACTTTCTGGAACTCTGGGAGACTGCAATGGTGGAGGTCTAGGCAGGAGGCCAGGCAGCAGGGGGCAGACCAGCCTTCTTGAACTGCCAATCAGGTTCCACTTGGCCCCACCCACCTCATCACTGGTTCACTCCTTCCTACATTCTCCCATTTTGACTTCCTTAAACCTCACCAGGCCCTTGCCCAGCCTGGCCCCTGCTGGCTGCTGCATCCGTGGCCATTTCACACTCTGATTATAATTTTGAGCCCCTGTGAGAAGCCAGGCATGGGGCAGAGCATTTTTCAGAGCATTTAACTGTCTCTACTCAGCTGCCAGTCAATGGATGTTAATTTACCCACTGTCAGTCCCATTTTGCAGATGGGGAAACTGAGGCTACAGGAGGTGATCCAACTTGCCCAGGGTCACTCATAAAGGCAGAGGTATGGAAGGAATTTGAGCCCAGGTCTGTGGACCAGTAGCACGCATCTTCCTTTTCTGTCCCTGACAATCCTACCTGGAGCACCCTAAACCCATAGGAGGGAAAGAGGGAAGGAGAGAAGGAGGGAAGGAAGGAAGAAGGAAGCATTTCCATGGCAGCAATTCCACCACAGGCCAAGGCATGGGGGAAGTTCTGTCCCAAGAACACAGCAGGAACTGGTCTTTGTGGGTTGAGCCAGCATCCAGAATGAACAGAGAGGGGAAAGGGGCCCTGATGGCTAGTGTTTCTATGTTGGCCACCTGAGTGTCCAATACTACTCATTCTCTTTCTGCCTGGCCTCTGTGAATTTGGGCACAAAGCTCACTGTTTCTGAGACTTAGTCTCCTCATGTGTACAGTGACCACACAACAGCAAGATCAGGGCAGACAGGATTCTTTGTGTTCATAGGCAGAGCCTCCGGGTAAACTAAGGCCCAGAGGGGTGCTGGCTGGCAGCCAGGAGCCTGGCTTGAGGGAGAACAGTCCTGAGGCTGTGAGATTCTAATGAGAGAATGCATGTACTCAGAAGGCGGTGGACACATATTAATTATTAATAGTGATGATAATTAACCATTATCATTATTTACCAGGATGCAGTCTTGATTCACATGCCTGGGTGTTCAGAGGAAAGATCCTCTCTGTGCTCAGCTTCAGGCGAGCCTTACAGCAGTGACTCATTCCTGAGCTTCCTGGACTTGGCACCTGGTGAATGTTTGATGAATGACCCCCATAACCCTCAGGGTCACGTAGCCCTATCCCGGAGTGTATATGAGACCATGGTCCAGGCAGCCAACGCCTCGTTGAGGGCCACATAGGAAACAGCCCATGTGTGAGACAGACAAACAGGTCAGAGCCATGCATATAGGCCACATGTATGTAAATATCCCAAGAGTGAAAGCTAAACATGGAAGTCATACTAGTAAGGGTCATGTGTGCACAAGAGCACATGTGAAAATTAGGCACGTGGGAGCCACACACAAGAGTTCTCTGGAGACAGCAACTCTAGGGCTAGGTTCTGGTTTTAAATCCCGTCTGTTATTTTCTTACTGTGTGCTCCAGGAAAGGCTGTGTCCCTCTCTGGGCCTCAAATTTTCTTCCTACATGATAGTACCAACTTTCCTTCC